GTGGGTGTGGGTGTGGGTGTGGGTGTGGGTGTGGGTGTGGGTGTAGGGTGTGGGTGTAGGTGTGGGTGTGGGTGTGTGGGTGTGGGTGTGGGTGTGGGTGTGGATGTGGATGTGGATGTGGGCATACTCTGCTTAAACACCCATATCCACACCCACATCCACACCCACACCCTCAAGTTTATTCGATGAACGTAGCCGAAATCTTAGTCCTATCAAAAAGTTATAATACATCCTCGATGATGTAAAATCAGAAAGAAAAGTTCATCTTAACTATAACATGACTGTTGTGTAGGTGATTTCTTTTTTTCTTCTTTCTTGTGTTTTGTTCTTCTCTCGCTGTAATCCGTCGTGTCTCTGGTGAATCGACATACTCACCTGCATGTTTATCGTTGCTGTTTGCTTCTTAAGTTTTTGTTGTTTCTATTTTTTTGTTTTTTGCATGCAGCAAAATTATTTCTCGTTTAAAATACATACAAATCGAGGGAAGTAATAGTTGTTCATTCATTGTTATTTTTCATTCAAACCAGTAGCATATCTCGTAAAAGCTAAGGATTTTTCATAGAAAGAATTTTGTATTCATCTAATCTCATCTGATGCGTTTTTTATGTTTTGAAAAAGAATGTACTTGATGGCACTATGAGAATTTCTATTATTATATCAGTCTGAGTAGCGTCATCTTTACAAAACATTTAATATATTTGATGCCGTGGTCTGGTACTAGTGATCGAGTACGGTTATTAAACGGTTGCAGAAATGTAGATGAGGCTTGGGTCTGCCGATGGTCGCTGACTGGTTTTGATTCCACAGAAATAAAAGATATATGAAAAAATATAGTTTTTGAGTTTATTTCAGTTCTCGTTTGTTTTATTGAAACAGTCACATTTTATTTATTTAACTTTTTGAAAAAAGCAGAACAATAGCACCAAAACTTTCTTATTAATTGTAATATCTACAGGATATGACTACTGTGGTTGTTATGTATTTTCTTTCTTTCTTTCTTTCTTTGTTTCTTTGTTTCTTTGTTTCTTTCTTCCTTTCTTTCTTTGTTATCACCGAGACAGCAACGTGATGGTATGACCACAGAACGGAACAAAAGAATAATCTCCCTTCGCATGGAATCGAACCATGCATCTCCTGCTTTCCGGGAAGACGTATTAACCACTGTACTAGAAAGGAGTGTTTCTCCTGTGTTCTGTCTTATGATTGAAGGGGAACACTTCAGGCATAACAGTGATAAACTTATAAAGCAAACAGTCTTTCATTTCATTCAGTTCTGTTTTTAGTGATATTTTCAATATCGTTTGAGAAATAATCGCAAATAACAAAAATCAGATTCTATTCGCATTCTTATCAGGTTCGAATGAGAAACTTTGAATTGAATATGTGTGAGCATGAATCTTAGTTCAACATGCTCTGACATAAGCAATTTAAAATGTGTTAGTCGTCGATTAACAATAATAGAGAAACAGTACTCCGTTTCTTGGAATTTATTTTCAATAGTCGATATTAAAACTCTGTTAAAAATTTAGTGAATACGATTGGACATTCGAACAAGTTTTCTAAGTCGGTTTTAAATACCAAGGACTTCAATATATCGAATGCTGATCCAAAATTCGAAGTTCGGAGACATCTACTAAACATCAGAGAAAAGTCCCGTATATAGGTCTATCTCAGGTCACTCAGACTGAATGTTACTTCACGATTTGTAATTGGGAACAGGTGCACATCGAGTTACATCATATTGATTTACATGTTTCAAATGAAAAAACTTTTTTTCTGCTATTTGTCTTGCGCAAGAGAAAGCAGATGGAGGAGTGGAGTTCCAAAGCGTCGTCTTTAAACTTGCATTCCCTAATGTTCTTTGCAAAATACATATAAGTTCAAGAAAATAATTATGTGACTGTCTTCACTTGGATCAAGATCGAATTAAGTTCAAGCTACTGATGCTGAACTTACGCAAAGATTACAAACATTCACTAAGGTATACGTAGTTCTATTGCTGTTTCAGTTTGCTATTAATGGCTAATTCATCAAGCGCGACAACGGAATTCACTGTTTTTCTATGTCCAATCACACATCAAATTTTCAAGGATCCTGTTTTGGCTGAAGATGGACACACGTATGAAAGGGAAGCAATAGTTCAATGGATACAAAATCATGGAACTAGTCCGCTTACACGACAACTGCTTAGGGTTAATAAACTACATTCCAATTTTACAATCAAGAAGATAGTCGATGAATTTCAATCGAAAAATTTCTGTTTTAAATTGGATGAACATATAAAAAAGAAATCTCGTCGAGCTTTATTTCAAGCACATGGAAAAACTGTATGGGAAGCAGAATGGATTGGAAAAGATGGACCACCGATATGTTTAATGAAAATAAATGGTGTGAGAGCATTAAAAGAAGCAACATTTTATGAAGCGATGACTCGACATCCATACATTGTAAAGACATATGGAATCGTCGATGAAGCTACGGATGTAGTATCACATTCAGTTATGTTATTGCAAGAATATGCACCCGAAGGTAACTTATTCGAATTATTACAAGAACAGCCATCTGTGCCTAATCCACATGTCTTATGTGAAATGTTTGTTCAAATCTCTGATGCTATGGCATTTTTGGCACACAATAAGATTGTACATGGTGACTTGGCATGTCGAAATGTATTAGTATTTCGATACGATGCAAAGGAATCGGAAAATAATCTTGTCAAACTAACAGATTTTGGTCTCAGTCGAGGAAGTCCAATGTATGCTCCTGTGGGATCAGCATCAAAAACAACATTGACCATAGTTCCAATACGTTATGCGGCTCCCGAAGTTCTCTGTAATAGCAACGATAGAAATTCATATACAGAAAAGTCTGATATGTTTTCAATGGGTGTATTGATGTGGGAAGGATACACAAAAGGTGAAATGCCATGGTCCAATATTGAGACTGATAGCGAAGTGTCTCGAAAAGTTATAAACGGTGAACGTTTGCAACAGCCATCGAAATGTAATGATAAAATGTGGTCAGTGATATTAAAATGTATGTCACAACAATCTAATGATCGACCGCCGTTTGAACAATTGAAACGTCAACTCTTAGGATTTGTGTTAAACTCTGTAAGCATACCAGGTAACATGAACACTTTATAATTTGGCGTTTAACTAAAATTATTCTAAAATTGTACATATTTAAGGTTTTAAGGACACTTCTCTCTCGAACCCTCATCATCAAAAAAAAAATTTACACTTTTCAATGTCGTTTTCTTTTTTTATCAAAAAAAGCATTCAAGAATGATTCTCTATCGAATTGCCGATAGATATCTTTTATGGAAAAAAGTTAAGATCTACAGTTCTGTGGTGTTATCAGTGATCTACACTATTATAAGTATTTCGTCAGAAAAATATGTTATGGGAAACATTGAGGCATCCTCTCAGTCCATTTCCAATCTCATTAATTACTAGCTATGCATAAAAAAACTAAAAATCGTCGAATATTTGACTATTTGCAAGTGGGAAGACTTTAGCTGGTTTGAAACCTAAGAATAATGGAATGCCTTTTAAAAACTTAGTTGACAATGTTTTTCATCAGCATGATCTCTTTTTTTATTATACCAGAAGTATTATTTAAAAAAATGTGAGAAATCCAAAGAATGTGAAAGAGAAGGTTGGTATATGATCACTGCTCACATAGGTCAATGCTGACTAATGGCATGTTCAAAGCTTAAGCAAGAAGATGACTGTTTCTAAATCATACATTCGAAAATACTTAACACATCAACTTAATATCATTTTGGCGAAATTCTCAACCACATTGTTTTAATAATTTCATGCGGATTTTTATCTCTAAGAGGATAGTGATCTCCGATTCGTCAAACACTGAGTTCGCTACTGCTATCAATTCGATCGAAGCATAATTGACCACATGAGAAGCTAATACAATTAATTTTTTTATATTGACTTTTCTACAGAACTTACTAATGTTTATTAACTTAGTTGGTATTCTGTAAACCCCCCCTCATAATAAAAGACCCCCGGGTCTTTTATTATGAATTTTATATCATATTCCAAAAGGGGTCTTCTATTATGGGAGGTCTTCTAATATGAATTTCTGTGCACAAACGACCAGAAAGATAATATATTCTCTCTCCATGAACAGAAACCCTTACTGTCTTCTTTTATTTTATGATTCTGTCGTCGACAAGACATCATTTTGCAGAAATAATATTTAGGAATCATGCATAATGAATGTCCTGGTAAAAA